TGGCGGACCATTGATGAAAAAAGTGCCGAATAATCCGCTGATGGTCTCTCCGCCTCCGCACGCGCCATTAAATGGATTAAATCATGGATCTGAGGTTTAATTGCTAGATCCCCCCCCCCCAAGATCTGCACTTGTGGACACCATCAGCGGATTAGTCGGCACTTTTTCATGTAGGGTCCGCCATATTTGATCCACGGCTGAGTATATCCGAGGATCATCTTATGTGAATGCCCTCTTATGCGCCATACTGGTTGCTATCTCACCTCAAAATAGAAGTGTTAAATTGGCGAGTAACGTTTTGAGGTGCCAATGGTTATGCTTAGCAACGAAAATTTATATGCCGACATTTTGTTTTCTAGGGAATTTTTATTGTTTTTTATTACCACAAAGGTAGATACATTTTTGAATAGTTAGATGCAGGAAAAAACTCATTTCCGGTATCTGGATTATCATAAACCCTTACAATACCTTTAAAGCATTTCAGAAATACATGTAATCCATTATAATAGGCATTTGATTTCAACACAGGGCAATACTTAACAGTTGACTTAGAGTGAAATGTGTATTGTTGGAAATTAAGCTATGAAAAAGTTCTACTGCGCTATATGTGATTTGTGGTTCACAAAGGCACTGTATTTCCCCATCGCCAGAGTAATCACCTATCCAATTAATAGGGGCCTAACCCTTGATCGGTCTATGGCAACTTTTAATTGGTTGATCAGGAAAAATAAATTCATTTCTTATTTAATTATAACATGTTTATAGCATTTCCTGCCTTATTTTACAAAGCAGCGGGTAAATATTGCAGTAAATGACACAATGTTGAATCGCCATATATGCGGTGCAGACGATCCACGGTGATTGTCATACTTCTGGGAAACATCATCGTGAGATATTGTATACGATCGCAAGGCTGTCGTTAAAGGTAGAATGAACATCAGGGTTTACGTCGGTGTTTTCTCGTTTATCTTCATTATGGAGATGATCTGGCTTGCCCCAGGGCTGAACTTCTCCGCTTGCAAATATCAAGAAAAAGAGCGTGCCGAAACTGTAGATGGCGCACGTTATAAAGAAAACCCACTTCCACTCTTCTCTTGTGCCCTTAACAGAAGAAAAATGCTTGTATTTAGTAGAATGACAAATCCCACTGGGGTTTAGTAATCGGTACACAGTACACTTGTTTTTCAGACAATTTGTAGTCATTATTTCAATCGACATCACTATATACAAAATAAAAAAAAGAATAAAAAAGATAAAAAAAATAATAATAATAAGTTCCCCTAAGCCCTCTTTATTTTCCTTGCCAAAATAGCAACCTGTCTGATAATACTTACGTTTGGAGTGAGCGCACCAACTATGTTAGGGGAAATAATGCCAGAAAAACAAGCTAGAGTGTTTGAGATTCCGAATATTTCACCGGCAAACCTTGAAATGAACATATTTCTTGCAAATTACGTGAAATAAAAATCTTTGATTCAAAATGACTCCTCGACAAAACTTAAAACCGAAAATAAAAATTATCATTCGCATAGCTAGCAAATGTGTTTATGCGTGCCTGGTTTCCTAATATAGGCCTAAATTTGGTCAAATAAACTTAACTACTTCATTTGGATTACCAGTTTTATTTCTGGTCAATCCGTCAAAGTAAATAATAAAACCTGATTTGAGTTAGAAAAAACTGTGGAATTAACAACTCAAATATCAATCAATTTATGTATTGCATTTCCCATTCATGCCTTGAAGCTTATCTCATATTGCCCGAAATGAGGGAGGTATAAGTACACTTGCGACGAAATGGGCACTTCACTTTCTTAACTTTTAAGAATTAAAAAAAATTAAGAATTAAAAAATTTGACGAAATATGACAAAAGCAACTTATAGTTGAATGCTTGCCACCTACTAATGTGTACCTTACCGAGGTGCGATATCTGCCGGGTTAATCGCAAATGTGGAAACGCTCGCAGATGAGAAGGTAACTCCTAATATCAAGTATACCACACCCGACATTCTGAGCTCACAATCTACGAAGGCTATAGTGGCAAACATAAAGGCAGCAGGCACAAATCCGCCTACAAAGTACAGCACTATTATATGTAACGTGAATCGAATTTAAGAAATAAGAAAAAACATTTTGAGATGAAATTAATTTTAAAATTATTCCAAAAAATTGTATTTGTTAAAGAAAGTTGTTTCCAACAGTTTGCCATTATACTTTTGGGCATTTGTCATGTTATTTTATCAATAAGCCAGTACAATTTCTATCAGATGATTGCGATCACATAAGACGTTTGGAACGTCTTTATTAAGTTCACGTCTCAGTTTAATTCTAACCGATTGACTGGAAAAGCTTTCTAGTCCTCGTTGTGTTCAGTATGCCTCGCTGCCTGAAATGATCTGCGACTTCCCCGCAGGCACCGGTGCCCAAGCACAATGCAACATAGGGTATCGCAGAGAACAATCCATTCTGAAACATAATCACGATATACCAAAGAGAAATATGGCCATTCAACTCAATCTAATTTGAGGTGAGGCATTGAGTGACGACGCCCGTATGCAAACAGTTTTTGACTCTTGGATAAATGACACCAAAGTCAAAGTTGTGAGTAGATTAGGTTCATATTATGGAATAACTAATGTGACCAGTTGAAGCTCTGTTTTTAAAACAATTACACAATTTATTGAAAACATATACTGTGGCACCTTTAGCTAGGCCTACTGTTTATCTGATTACCTGTTTTATATCAAATTGCATAACTTCCTTCATGAAAATCGGAAGACTCGTTACCAGAATAAAGCCAGGAGAAGTCGGCATGACGTCCAATAGGGAACTAAAAATGAAGTTAAACTTTGAATGATCTACAATGCCATTCGTGAACAAATCATTCACACTACTCGCCAGCACACTGTCAACTTCCATATCTGTGTACTCTACTAATTTATATCTCTTCATCTTATCATCAAATATATTTGTGCTACTACTCTACTAGTACCTCCCTCGCAGTTCTGAGTCTCCGGTCAAGTTTCATCATCAAGTCTTTCATCATACTGAGTCGATTAGGCCACACTTTTTTATTTTTATGGATGACGTCCTGCGCGCGCACCGATTTTCGTCCGTTCTCCCCCCCCCAAAAAAAAATCTCCCCCCCCCCAAATCCCCCGCCCCCCAAGGAAGTCGGTTGTCGCAAACGTCGTTATTGATTTTCCCGGAAAATGCAATCGGCAATCCTCGGCTAATTCCGCAAGCTCCATACTGTCATTGTCGACTGTGAAGACATCCGAGTAGTTCCGAGTGCGGAAAATGAGCTTTCTGCGCATGCGTATTATGACCACGTGGAAATATGGCCGCTTTGCCGTCAAATTCATCTCTAGCATTAATTTCAAAGTCATAAAGAGAACGGGGTCCGTCGTTTTGGATTGGTTTGCCATTGATATTGGACATGGAGATATCACCTTTTTACAATTATACGAAAGGCTGGCCGCGGCCAGCGATCATCGCCCGGAAAATTTCAGTGACATTTTGTCCAAAGCAGCACATACCAGGTTTTATTTTTGTAGCGAAAAAAGTGGTAAATTAGTGTTTCCAGCTGTGTACTGAAAAACATAACTTTTCTTAAGCAGTTTTTTTTTTTTGGACTGTTTTTTTTTCGCCCGCTCGCACCGATTTTGGGGTCCCCAGAGGATGTCATCCATAAAAATAAAAAAGTGTGGCCTTAATCATATTCATGATGCCCCTCGTATGCACCATACATGCACTGTCTCCATGCGTCCAACGACACTGTAAATTTTGGTTTCTTGTTTCTCCACCGTTTCTGTTTTTTTTATGATAGATGAATATTCATCGCTGTTTCTGTTATCACTAGATTTGGATTTGACAGTGTTATCATGTTTCCCTTTGACTGTTCTTGTTTTCGTTTTCTTTGCTTTCTCTTCCTCGTCACTCTTATGTAACGCGGGTTTTGAAGGGCCCGGTAAATTCATAGCACTGCTACACTGATTCCAAGTTTGGCACGCAGCGAGGTATACCAACTCTGATTCGTACAAGTGTGTAACTACGTTTCAAAATCAGTATATTTCCCATAAAATTTTGCAACTCCGTTGAAAATAATGTTTTACCTACAAAGCAACAAACTGCGTTTGTTTTTTGACTGATTTTGATAGCAAATAAATCGCATCTATTTAGGCTGCATGTCTGCACCAGCCGCATGTCACAAGCTAACTGAGTACGCATGCACAAGCATATCTCATTTAAGACTGACCGATATTTTTATACGAAATAGAATTCATAACTGATCACTCGAGCAATAAACCGCAGATCACTATATACGAACGGGTCCTCAATGTCACATAGCGCACTATTGACACAGATGGTGCAATACTTTTGACCCCCCCCCCCTCTTTAGATTATCAACAGCTATTTTAATTTGTATATACTAAGCCTTAAACTCCCGTTTGAAAATGTCTACACCCATCACAGCAAGCTTTTTGGGCTGCGGTACAGACGCAACACAGCTAGAATATTTGGTTATACACTGCATATGACGTATGCTTCACAGAAAAAAATGTACATATTGTGCATATTCCATAGCGTCAGGATAATATTAAAGTTCAATATTTTCCTTAAAGATGCATATGAAGTAAATTTTTGCCACAAAACTATACCAAATGCCAGCATTTTGTTTCAAATAGTATAACTAAGAGAATCACCAAAAGACATCCCGTTTAATATTACCCAAAAAAATGATACTTGACTGGATTTTTCTGCTAGCTTTCTATGCTGTATATACATGGGTCAGAAAAGTAGTTCACATAAGTAGGTTAAATATCTGACCAAAAATTTAATGAAAGGAGCAGTATAAAGCATCTTTATGGCTGATCGAGTGAATTATTTAGTTTATCCTTTGGCATGTCGACCTTGTTTGAGTGGTATAAGGACAATAGTAGAAGTGGTTTATATATGCTCGGTTCATATGTACCTTTAAGGTTGTTTATTTTTTGCTCCCATTTACTTATTACTTTGTGCTATAAAAAGAATTAGCTTATTTAAAGCGCATGTTTTACATCTTACCTACCTATAGCCTACGTATACTTACTATTTTGACTTTTCAAGGCATGTTTGGCCACATTCCCTGCAGTCTTTGTGTCAGAAGCGGTAGAGATGTTTGTGGTACTTGCTGTTGGCGACACAGTGTTTTGATCCATGATTCTGAAAATAGTCCCCAGGGCATAAAGATCTGATAGGGCCTATTTGATTAAACCAAATAAAAGATCAGATATGAAGCCAATAAACCCCCATTCTTGAGCGCCAGAAGAAACCAGTTTTGTCTGCGAGCTATATCTGTAGTGTCCTGTAGTTATATTTATCTACGTTTGAATGAATACATACTAATATGTTATGTAACATGACATTAACGGTGCGTAATTTTTTTCAGATATATGTTAGTATACATGTACATGTAGTATGATATCTGTAATCATCTCTTGTTGCCCAACAATTGCATGTTTACATCTCCTAGTCTTAACAGTAATGTCGCTATGTTGTACTATCAAATGGAGTTCTCTTATTATTTTACTGCAATTTACTTGTGCTGCATCGCGAATTGCGACCGAGCGCAAGCGTCTCGATTCCATAACTCGGGATTTACTCGCCCCATATAGGCCCTAATAGCCTCGAAATGAAAGGTGATTCGCAATTTGCGATGCTTTCGAGTTACGGAGCCCAGATCGAACTTCTTGCGCTATAGCATATATAATGAAGTTTACGTGACAGATAGGTAGTTGCCCATATTTAAATAAACAACCAGTGTTAGACCCCAAAAGTTTGATTTTATGTTACACGTGTTTTTTTTTTTATCTCATTATTGTCGGTAGCAATTTTTTCACTATTTTGTACACCAGGATGAATGTATAAATACATGTAGGAGTATA